CAATCTCTTCTATTTATTGTATAAATAAAAACGAATATTGTTTTTTATATCTGTGAGTATCTGGATCAACTTATACACACCTTTACTAATCTTTGAACCAATGAATCATCCATGATAGTTAAATAAAAGCAAATATAATATTTATGTAATATTGAATTTTTTTACATCCTCCATAAAGGGTTTTTCTTTTTTCCTTTTCTTTTTTGAGGCTAAAGAAAATTTATTGCAGGTCGCTGTCAGGTTTACATCATTTGAAAAAATATTTATTTGTAACAAATTAATCGATTATCGATGTATATGTGTGTATTTTAATATTTATTTCTACCTAATCGGAAATAAATAAAGGCAAAAAAACTCACCAAAAATTGAAAGCAGGAAAACAACAAGGGATGAAACAAACAAGTAGAAATGACAACCAATTTTCTCTACCTATTTTACTCCCTTCACTTTTTTAATTTCATTTGTATTTGTTTTCGTTGCTCATTTTAGCTAAATATACTCAATGGTCCGTATCAAGTAATTCTCAATTTTGTCCTTTTAACTTTGTAAAATTTTCAACTTCACCTCTAATATGTTAAAAATTTTCAATTAGGTTATTTTGTAAAAACAATAATTAAAATTGTCGATAAAAATTGATTATTAAAAATCCGTCTGGTAAAATTTTTGTTTCCGGTTTCTCGTTCTCGTTTCTTATTTTTTGAGAAATAGATATGTTTGATAACCCATCCCAGTTTTCCTTTCTTAATTTTGAGGCACGTTTCCAAAAAAGAAGGTTTCTCGTTCTTTTTTGTTTACATTTCTTTTTATTTTCGTGTGAGAAGCTCTGAAACTGGCTTTTGGTTTGTTTGGCATATAAGAATCTATGCGCCCGGTGCCTCCCATCATGTGTTCTAGTCTTCATATGACTTTTGTTATTTAAAATATTTTGTGTGAGTTCGATCCCCCACCCATACATGTTGTACTAATTTTTTAGATCGGCGACCCTCCAGGTCTATGGTGGGAATTGGTGGGGTTGATATTTTTCGATCGATGATGTTCTTGTTTTGACAGTTGGCAATTTTTTGCGGGTAGGAGTGTTCATGGGTTAGGTTGGGTCGGATTAAGGAGTTTTTGGACCAACCTGTCTTCGGAAGGTTGTTTTAGAAACTTATTTACACAAATGTCTAAATTTTTCTAATTTTACATTTTTAGATTTCTGCATGTAGGATTTTATTTTAATTTCGATTTTACTCTTATTTATTGCATTTACATTTATTATAGTTATTTGTTTTTTTTAATATAAAAGATTTAATTCCATAAATTATTATCATAATCTTTTAATTATCGTGGGCTCATACTAATTTCCAACACAAATCTCTTAATTCACCCCTCAAAACCTTAATTTACTCATTCAAAAAGATCAATTTTGCCTTAATTCACTCCCACATTGGTGCTCAATCTTCAAAGACAATTCAAAATCACATAAACATCTTTTGAAGTCTCAATAAACATATATCCGCATATTCAAAAAATATATTCAAAATCACAGTATATATTCACTTATATATCAGCATATATACATTCAAAATCATTATAGTATATATCCGCATATCCGCATATACACAAGTTGAGTTATAAGATATATCCACTTATATATACGCATATATACATTCAAAATCACTATAGTATATATCTGCATATCCATATATATATACAAGTAAGTTGAGTTATAAGATATATCCTAATCAAATCACTATACTATATATCCTCACATATACAATATTTTACACCAAATCAGAAATTGAAAACATCCGTTGGAATGCAAACCTTTCAATTTGGAGATGAACTGCTCTGGCGACTGAGAAAAATGGAGGTAGTCGGAGATGAAGGCAGGCAGAAATGCCCGGAGAATAAGAACCGACGAAAATCTCTCTTCAAAGACGGTCGGAGATGAAATGATCTTACGATAAAGAAAAGCGGAGCGGCCGGAGAGGAAGGCAGATGGTCGGAGAAGAGGAATGGATGGTCGAAGAAGAGGAACGGATGGTTGGAGGAAGGAAAACCAACGGTCGGAGGAAGAAAAGAAAGATAAGGAAGAAGAAAGGGGTGGGTTTCCAAAATGGATGAGTTTTTTGGTTTTTGGAAATTTTTTATTTTGGAAAGTATCATTAGCAAGATTTTACCTTCCAATTTATCAATTCTAAGTTTTAATAATTATTTAATATTAAGATGGATTTTAACGATATACTAATAATTTGTGTTATGGATACCACTGTTTCATAACAAAAGTAAATTCTATATTTTTCCATCATTTTAATATGATTTCTAAATAGATTACTAGTCCTTAAAAATAATCCATTGATTGGGTTGCCAAAAGCCCTAACTGTCCCATAGCCCAACAAATTTATAGGCTGATAAACCAGCCAAAGATGAAAATGTTGTTCAAATAATGAAGAGGAAATTTTGAGGGATTTAGCAAGACCGACTCTTTTACCCAATTTTTGCCTTGCTTTAATGTAATCCTTTTGCTTGCATAATCATTTTATGTGAAATGATGTATTTTTCCTTTTCAAATCTTTTTCTTTTTCTGCAATTATGTGATCAATGAAAGTTATTTCCAGGAATGTCCGTGGCTTAGGCTCGTCGGGTAAAAGAGCCTTCATCAGAGATACTTTAAACAGGTCTTTTTCCCTCTAACCATAGCTCCTCAAAAATCGGCTTTTGTTCATGGAAGACAGATCACTAATGCTATCCTTATGGCAAACGAAATTGTGGATTATTGACGGTGCTCCAACTCAAAAGGTATTATTTTAAAGCTGGATATTGAGAAAGAGTTTGACAACTTAAATTGGTCTGTTCTCTACAGTATCATCTATCATAAAAGTTTCAAAGTGGTTAGCTTGGATATGGAACTGTATCACTTCAGTCAGCTATCGGTCTGGTCTTACTAAATGGTAACCAAGGGGAAATGATGGGACATTAATCCTGCGGCCGAAACGAAAATCGTGTTCGTGAATTTTATGGAGAAAAATGACAACATAATAAATGGAAAACAAAGAGCTTTAACTTACTTTTCAAGACAATCTTTAAAGATTTTTCAATAAATCCGTTCAACACCACCACGGAATCTTCCCGACTATCCTCTGGGAACAAAGATGCTTGTGAAAGCAACAAACTTAGAATAAAAAACTCTTAGGATTTTTCCATGAGAGAACACAAATGAGAGTGGGAAAGATACCAAGGAACAATGTGCACGGACCTTCCCTGCATATTTGATTCGTACCCAGGTCACTCTAACATCCCCACTCCCCTACAATTCAATAGGAGAGTTTTTTTTTTTTCAATTATTAATTATAATTAATATTAATTAATTAATCATTAATCTAATTAATAATTATTTATATATATATATATATATATATAATAAAAAATTATTTATTTATTACTAAAATAGAATCATATTCTAAAGTATTTCTCTAGTATAACCTATAGTTATAATGTACATCTTATGCACATTATTTTTAACTTATAGTTTTAAGATAAATTCTATTCATATTAATTTTTATTTGAATCTCATTCAAATAATTTCTCTCCTAATATATAATTTTAATTTAGAATTAACCATATGTTACAATGTATCAACATATACATACATATATATATATATATATATATATTAATCCATCGAGCAGTTTGAACATTTCAAATTCTTCCAAGAAAGTTGATCATCGTTTTAAACGTTGTGAGTTAGCAATGAGACCTAATGGACCTACAGATCAGAAGCTCCAACTATACGAGATTAATCGGTCAAATTTATTAACCGAGTTAATCAACATTTGTTAACTACGGGTCACTCCACTAAAGACCCGCAGCTGCACTCTTCTCACTGCAGAATATTTTCGTGTCCACGGATGTACGATTGTTAACAATAAGTCAATCATTCACGAGTGCGGCGTAACTTTAGCTGGATCAAATTACTGTTTTACCCCTAAGTTACATCTTGCTCCTTAAATACCACTGCTCCTCTAATGAACAACACGGTTATAGTCCGACTAATAACCGAAAGTCCCTTTTGAGCCAGTTAGAAGGAGGGGACACTTGTTCAAGTCCTAGAGTCAACACTTAAGGGAACACTCATCTACTCCCCTAAAGTCGGGAATGAGTGAATTCCATCACATGTAGTTATGTTTTCAGCTTCCCACTCGATGGTGTCCCCAAAATGGTAGGAATGTTGAATCAGCGACTCCGGCCACTCTCACTCATACAGATCAAAGGACGAGCCCTCACAGGCAAAAGTCCATAACTCACTCATGATTGAGAATGAGTTGCCTAGTCGTCTTACGAAATAGAAATCTATTAGTCAACGGTGTTACATCTAAAGATTGACTATTTTACGGTCCGATCTTATACAAACTTATTGTATATGATACCCCCACTCGCATGTCTCCACACGAACGACCTAGATTGAGTCATCTGTAACATTTACAAAGCGGACCGTATCCATAGTGTTGCCAGGATAAGGTACCAAGCATTATCCATATACTATAGAGCGTTTAGGTTATTTCCGGGACATTATTCACATGTATATCGAGGTTATATCAAATATATACTCATTATATATATTGTCCCGGTTACATGATAATAACCTTGGATCTTTAGTTTATTGAATTTAGACAATGCAATGTTATAAATTCAGCAACAAATTGATTGAATAAGAAAAACAAAACTTTATTGAATATAAATTTTGTTTTACAAAATTATAAACTACAAGTTTTAAGGCTAGGTTCATTTGACTAAATTTAAAAGTTACAAGTAGTTTGTGCTTTATTAACTCCATCAAGTACTAAATAGAAGCCAACACACATTGTGAGACAAGAAAGGAAACCATTTTTATTTAATTCTTAAAGAGAAACAGAATCTCCATGGTTTACACTAGTACATATTCCAATACATGAGATGATCATATTAATATCCATAATTGTTCATTAATAGGAACATGGCTTTTAGTTTTAAGCCTTGTTGTTGTGGAGTTTGAGTTTTGTTGTTATTGCAGAGGTTAGGGCCAAGTCTGCTGCATCATCCACCAAGTATGGCACCACAAAATTACTCATACTTTCATCAGGTAAATTAGCATGATCTCCTGGCACTTTCCGAGTTATCACTTTTCCACTCTCGTTCAACCTCTTCAACCCAATCCATTCCTCTTTATACAGATTTGTCTGCACATTCAATCATACAATTAATAAGCTCATTCCAACTTGATAATAATACTCTTTTTTTTTCTCTTGTGTTTCTTGTTTTGCAAAAATTTATGAGAAAAGATCATCGGTTACAAAATATGTATTTGGTGATGTTTATTTGGCGAAACTAAAAATATGAAACGAGAAACAACGATCGAATGCCTTTTTTAATTATTCAAAATGAAAAATGAGAAACAAGAGAGATGGAAAAAAAAAGGGGACAAAATTTTTGTTGTTTAGACGGTTTATTAATTGATAGTTCGGTTTAAATTTTACAAGCAACTAATTAAGACCCTATTTGATAATGATGTCGTTTTTTAGTTTCATGTATTTGAAATTGTTCTAGTCTAGTTACCCACGATTTCTTTTAACATGTTTTCCAATTTTCTTAAGAAGACATTTGAATTCTTAATCAAATTTAGAAAATAAAAATTAAACAAGTATTTAACACTGTTTTTCTAAGTCCCATTCGATAACAATTTCATTTTTCGTTTTCTGTTTTTAAACATTATGTTTGCTTCCTTATATAAATTTTTGCTATATTTATAATCTATGYTTAAACACATTTGATTTCTTAACTAATTTTGTTTTAAGGAAAAAAAAAAGATGAGTCTTTTAAAATTACATTTCCTTTCTTCTTTTTTTTTCGAAAATTTTGTTTAGATCTTGGAAATATTTTTAAAACATAGATAACAGGGAAAATAAAAAATGGGAAGTAGACTAATAGTGTTCATATACTTAAGTTTTCAAAAAAAAAATAAAATAAAATACGTTTTTATCAAAATATGTCTAATTTGTTTTCAAAATAGAGCTTAAATTTTGAAAACTTTTTCTTTTTCAAGGTCGATAACAAAACCGAAACAAAAATAACAAAATGGTTATAAAATAGTGTAAACTTTTTTCCCTTCTTAAATATTTTTGTTGGGTGTCAAGAAATTCATACCTCTGTTGCAGGTACAACTTTACGATCAGTGCTCCCATCCTCATAGTATCCAAACCATGCAGTTTCCCTCGGAATCAAGAAACTATCGTCCTAATTCTATGAAGAAGAAGAAAAAAAAATCATGAAACAAATATGAAGGATTTTCAAATTTGGAAACCCAAATAATAGTAAATGATTTTTTTTCCCTTGAAATATCACATTGCACAATATGAGAGGGTAAGAATAAGAATTACAATTTTGTAGCGGRGAGATACAAATGTCTAACTACTTAGATTACGCTCGGGTTAATATTTTGTTTTTTACTTACCATGAGCAACACCAATTTGTTCAAGCTACTAAAACGCTCCTTGTAAACTACGTTCTTCTCGTCTTGGGGTTCGTTATTGAGCTTTGGAAGGAATTTAGAATTCTTCAAATACTCCTGAATTTGCTGAACATTCCAATTTTTTCATTCACAATCTTTATCAAGATTCATTATACAAAGTAACACATTGTATTCTAAAATCAATATTAAAAGGACAGGCATTATTCTTTTTTTCTTTTTCAGTAATTCTTGCCTCTGGTACTTTGTAATAGGTGGCAGCAGTTGTAAAACTCTACAAACATAGATCAGAAAATTAACAAGTGTGAAAATACATATAAAGCTTTTGTCAACTATGCAAATAATAAAATGACTATAATAATGCTTTTATTCATCTATAATTCCGAAAAAAAAGTTAAAGATTTTTGTTTCAAATTTTGGCAAAAAGTCTACAAAATAATATGGGATTTTCTTTAAGAAAAAAATAATCAAAGATGAGGATTCGAATTTTTTTATTTATAAAGGAGATCATTAATGGGTAAACTATTGAGTCACATCCAACAATGGTTAATTACTCAAAATAATATTAGAAATTGAAAGATGCTTACTTGGACTTCATCTGTATAAACAGCAGTGTCGAACAAGATTTCGACTATCGGACAGCACTTCGAGAACTGCATTTAATAGTAAAAATAATTAAAAATATATATGTAAAAAAGTTTGCTCAAACTTAAAAGAATTATTTTATAACGTTTTTTTTTCTTATTATTTTGGTTTCTTGTTTTTTTAGTTGTTGTTATTATTATTATTTTTCAGAAATAGGGACATTCCATAATGTTACCTTTGTCAAGTTTTTGGGAATACAATTCAAAAAAGTTGTATACTAATTGAGCGGTGTTTTATTCAAAACAATAAACCTATTTTTGTTTCCTCTAGCGAAGAAAAAAAAAAAACAAACCAAAATCCCTACACCTTTAGTATTTTAAACTTGTAAATTTTCTATATTTTTTTTATTTTTTGGGCGTCAGCCCCGTTGTTATTCGAAAAAAAAAATTTCTATTTTTTGAGACATGCAAAGACTTGAATTTGGATCGTGTATTAATAATTTGCTAGCACCTTGCCACTATGTTAAGACCTTATGATGCATAAATTTTCTATTTTAAGTCCTAAAGAGTAACTAACTTGGTCTTCGTTATTGCCAARAGTGAGCATATATAGCTAAGCAGTAATTGACATATATCTTCAACCATATATTAGTTTTATACATATTTATGCCAATAGGAGTACAAATATATTCAATATCMCATTATTCAACGTGCTAAATAATTGATTGCAAAGTATCAAGTCTAAAATAGAAAAAGGAAGGAGATATAGGTTTTTTTTTTCCTTCTAATTTTTATAAACATAAATTATGCTCTAATCRGTTGAGTTATGTTGATGCATAAAAAAGATTTTTTTTAACACGGTGAGAAGAGAGAAATTTGAGTTGCCAGTAAAAATAATCTTACATTGCTATTTAGTTAATTCCTAAAAGTTGACCCTAAAAAAAAAGTTAAAAGGTTCTTACAATTTTTTGGCAATAAGGAATAGATGACATCCCCGCATGAGGACCTGCTAGAGTAATCAAATTCTTGACCTGTTCCAATTTTCCCAAAAAAGAAAAAGAAAAAGAAAATTAGAAATTCCACCAGAAGATATAAATTTGTAATAAATTAAAAGTCACAAAAACTAATAATTTTCTTTTCAATAAAAAATAGAAATAAAAATAAAAAAGACTTTGGAAGCTGAATACTTACAGGAGGTACTCCATCACAGAATTCTATTAGACCTCTTGCTATTAGGGCACCCTACATTCACATGCAATGAACATAGAAATAATAAATTTATATGATTTTTTTTATTGTGTTATTTTTATTAATTAAAAAATGAACGGATGTAGATTTGTTAAATCACCTGAGAAATAGCAAAGATATCGAAGCCTCGTTTCAAAAATTTCATTCCTCTCACCTGTAAATAGTAATAATAACATGAAAAATGAAAATAAATAAATAAATCTTGGTGCATCTATGTAAGACCCCTCAAACTTAAAATTGATAGGTTAATAGCTCAACCGGTATTGGTATCTATATATAATCAAAAGGTTATGAGTTCRAATTCCCGCTCCATTTTTGCACGAGATATATATCTCGTTACCTATTAGACAGTTTTTAAAGTTTTTAAAGTTTAATATTCTCTCGACAGATAYAGAATTAAAAGTTCAAATAACTTTTTAGAGCAATTGTAACATAAATTTAAGAGTTTGTGGACTAATTTGTAATTTACCCAACATAATATATTGAAGGTATAAATTTAAGCCCCCAATGTAAAGTTTTGACCTTTGAAAAAAGAAAAAATGTAAAGTTTGGGATCCCGCCACTTACTCCACTTATGTTCAAGCATATTTTTAATGGTTATAAATAATGTGGGATTTATTAAATAAAATAATAAATCAAGTTGGTGATGTGAATTGAATATAAATATCATGAGTATGGTATGATAGTTAAATGCTCAATAAATTATAAAACTTGAAGAATTAGAATACCACCTTGTCACAAGCAGTTTGTATCTGCAAAAAAATAGAATAAAATAAATAAAAGAAACAAAGAATTAACATTTTTATGTGTATGTGTGTAAAAAGAAATTAAAAAAAATAGAAATTTAATGTGTAACCTGGTCGATAACGGGCATATGTATTGAATCAAAAGATCCATTACCAATTTCTCTGCGAGGTAAATATATGGAGTTATATTTCCAATATATATTATATATTTATTAAAAAGGGCAAGGTCTAACGATTATTTCTAGACTATTTTGTCCCTTTTTTAATATTTGCAATATGCCAAATGTGTCTTCTTATCAATTATCTATATATTATTGATTCCCTTGAAATAGAAAAATAATTATAAAAGTGGCGAGAAAATAATTTAAACTAGATATTAAATAATCATTGATATTTCAAAATGAATATTTTAATATCTAAACTACAAGAAAAATATTCATTCTGATCCCTACTATTATTTTATTGTCACTAGGACATCCCCAGGACAAGCCTATGTAATTTTAATATATGCTCTTCTAATAAGCACGCTAATATATGCATATTCAAAAATTTATAATGCATTATCCATCAATTAAACAATTCATTAAAAAATAATGGTAATCACCTCAATTTTTTTTTTAAAGTTTACAGACTAAAATAGACATTTAAAAATATTTAAAGGTCGAATAAAGCACAGTGGAGTAGAAAACTTAGAGGAACTAAAATAGATTTAATAGAAATAATATATTTTTAAAAATGAAAAATATACACGCATTCGCCTTCAACACCAGCGGATTCCTTTAAGTATGAAACAATATTGTTTGATTGCGAAGTCGAGCAATTATCACTAATGCCTGCACAAACAAAACCAAATCTATTTTATAAATATTTTATTTTGAAGTCTAAATAAAAATACGACAATAAAGATAGTGTTTGAGCTTGTTGGATTCTGACATCATTTCAATGTTGATAGARTTTCATCTCTAAACCAATTAGTAATAAGGAGAGTAACTATGTATATTATAAAYTTTTGTTCCTTTTAACACAAACAACTCCCAAAAATCAATATTAAAAAAGTATTATTTTTAAAATGAAAACAACCCCATCAATTTTAAACATACAAGCCGTCTATGAAAATAAACCAAAAGAAAACATGAAAAAATAGCTATCTAAAAATATTATAGAAGTTACAACTAACTTGAACAATAAAAAGAATATATATTACTTACATATTCATTGTCCCAAAAAGAAACATAACAAAAACAATTATTCAAGTATATATTTGCTATATTTTTAAAGCAAAAACTTTGTTTTATAGAAAAAAAAAACTTTCAAACCACCTAAAAATTGAGGGGAAGAAAACAAGAGCAATGTTATATTGTTTTAAGAAACAAGAAAGACAAACAATACCATGAAAGTACACGAAGGGTAGTGAATGAGAAGTTGAGGCCATTGTTAGAAATAGAAGGAGCGAGAGGAAGAAGAAACAAGAAGTCATTAGTCTTTGATTTTAATGAAGAAAGATTTAGTAGAGGTAAGTGGAAATGAAGAGAGGTGATGGCTTTTTATAGGAGGAGTTGAGCGATAGACACCTACTAATTACTAGTATGATTAACGGAAATATGTGATTTTTTAAAAGAAAATTTATGAAAAAGTAGCATAATCTAAATTCACTTAAAAACAAATGCTTCCAAAAGAAATTTATAAACAAATATGTGATATAAAATGAAGAGTATTTTAATTATTGGTATGAATTTATAGATAAATTTACCTAAATATTAAATAGCTAAATGATAATTGACATATATCTCCAACCCGTTGTTAGTTCGATTCTCCACCCACATTTTTTACTTTAAAAAAATTGTAACATGCAATAAATATATTTTTTTAATATAATAAAAAAATTAGAATTTTACAGGAAATATATCATAATCTAAATCCAACTCAAATGTAATATAAAATATACTAAAAGAATCACATGCTATATTTGAAAATAATAAAAAGTTGTCGAATCTCAATATAGTTGAACTGGTTAGAGCACCTACTTCAAAAGATCTTAAGTTTGAATCTCCGCCCAGGTGTTGTATTAAAAAACAATAAAAAATTGTGATATTTTTCACCCCAATTGTATTTATAGAGATTTGTCTACACATTATACACCAAATCATGTTAAATTTGGTCCTTAATTAATTTTGATTTTTTTTGTAACTTTATTTTAAAATAAAAACAAAAACTTAAAAAGTAGATACGTAGCCCAACTTATAAATATTAAATCCAACTTATTTTATTGGTTATCCATTTTGATATATAATTTTTTAATAGACGTACAAATATCGAATAATAAAACATGAGTAATATATTTATATATATTGAAAAAATATGTCTAGAACGTATTTAAAAATTTTATTTTGATGAATTATATGTTCTTAGCTAGCCATTGATTTGAAACAAAAATTCAATTAACCTAAAATTCAACAATATTTGTAATGAGAGAAAAAAAAAGGAAGAAAAAAGAGAGTGTATTTACTATTTATAATCAAATAGTCAAAATTCACAAAAATGATGAGAATGGAATAGAAAAATAATAATAAAGAACAAGAAAAATAAAAAATAAATAGAAAAATCATACATAATTTAAATGGTGAAGTTCAAATCATTAAGAAAAAGAAACAATAAATTTAGCTTGGAGCGAGAGAAATTCAAAAATTGTAAATGGAGGATGAGAGAAGTAAGTGAAGATGTAAATCTCAGAGAGATAAATAAATTAGAAAATCGAAAATAAATAATAACATCAAAAATATTTAATAAGAGAGAATGTACAATTAATTTAAGAGAAAAAAAAAAGGTGAGATACGGTTGATTAATTTTATTTATATAATAATATTTAATAAGGGAGAGGATACACCATTAATTCAAGAGAGAAAGTGAGATAGAGTGTATCAATTTTACCTTTAAATACGTGGGTCCCACATAAAAATTAAAAATATTTTTATTTAGATAATGATAGAACTCATTTACACATAGCACCATTTAAACAGGAGTAGCATGACAGTTCTTCGCGAAGGACTAGAAATTTTCCTCTACATTATATCTCAAAATTTCAAGACTGTAGATTTGATCTCTGATCTCTGCGTAGTTCTAAGTTGGCTTAATTTTTCACACTTATCCTATATAGATCTAGTCAAAATTTATGAATCATAGAATAATTTGCTCTTTGGATCCTAATTCAATAAAAAAACTTGTAGAATTACCTCATTCTATAAAATGAAAAATACATTATTTCATTCTTCAGCTTCCATGATATTTATAAATAAATAAAAAGAAAAGTACTTCTCTTATTTCATTATTTCCATGACCTGATCAGTACCTAGCCGGACTCTTTTTTGCTCCAACGAGTTGATGAAATTACACATAAAATTCAACTCACTCATCATGCATCCAAATCAACTCTTATTATTTTTAATATTTTATTGAATAATTTTTAAATCTTACCATCTAAGATTATTTTAAAGAATTAAAAACACCTGCAACCCACGTGATGCTAAATAAAATACTAGTATAAAAATCTTGTCTCTTTCATGATAAAAGTATAATATTTTAACATACAAATATAAATAAGGGGTTTTTAGTATTTGATTGCAGCTTGAAGCTCAACTCCAAGAAACATGCTTCTTTTGTAAATCCACCAAGTAAGGCACAATGTACTTTTTCATATCACTATTAGATATTCCAAGATGACCTCCTGCAACTTTTATAAATTTCACTCTTCCAGCTTCGTCCAAACTTCTCAATCCAATCCAATCCTCGATGTAAAGCTTTGTCTGCACGAAAACAAATCGAGACAACTCGAGATGAGTCCTTCGCGTATGATAGTACACTTGGAAGAAGAGGTAGTCATAGTTAATCATACTTATACGGTCTTGTTCCGAACAAAAATGAAAACGAACAAGGTAGAGAAACTAAGACGACAAGAAACTCGCTTGAGGGAGTCTCGAGGAACCCGAACCTCCCAAAAGTTGATTCGGGACAGTTCAACAAAATAAAAGTCTCCCTGATGTTTCATTTGATTCCGTGTTTGTGTATACAATATTGAATGAAACGACCAACTACAAAACGTCCCAATATGTCCCTAAATGGACTTCAGTAACAAAAGACATCCATATTCTATATCCATATTCTTTTATAACAGCTAAATAATCTCTCTATGTTTTATAATCTCCTCAGTTTTTTGAAAATTTTATCATGAAGCTGAGATACCGCAACGTTAGAGTGCCTTGCGCCTCTATTTGCCAAGACACCAAAATCTTATCATGCCTAATATGTGTGCGTTTTTATTTTCGTCTAATATGCGTGTTATTAAAGAAACCAATTGACTCTTCAATTAACAAAATGCTTGCACAATTTGAAGGATGTTCTAATATTTAACCTTCATTTGATCTATAAAGACTTTGTTGGTGCAGCCAATCCGAACATAGCTCAATGGATAAAACACCTACTACCATCCCAAAAATTGATGGTTTGATTTTCACCTTGTTGAACTAAAAAAAAGGTACCTGTTGTGCTGGTAAGATGGACTTCGACTTAAGCTCCCCATCTGGATAATATCCGAACCAAGATGTTTCCTTTGGGATCAGAACTGTATCGTCATCCGACTGTTGAAAACAGTAGACAAACAAACTTTGTCAATCGATTAATGTGGGTATAATTTTGAAATAATAAAGAATACTAAAGAATCATGAAACAATATATGAAAAAAAAATAACTATAAATTTTTCACAAACTTCCCCAATGTCAAGTTTACCATGATAAGCACCAAGTTCCTTAAGCTGCTGAATCGTTCCTTGTAAGTGGAGTTTCTGGCATCTGGACGTTCATTATTAAGCTTCGGGAGAAATTTACAGTGCTCTAAATATTCGGGAATATCCTGAAAAAAAGAAAAAGAAGGTTCCTTGTGAACTTGGAGATGTAATGAAGCCATATCTGGATTGTGAAAATCACTCACATTTGGTAGTTTAAGATAACCACTGGGAGCCAATGCATTCTGCAAGACCATAATTAGGAGTAGAGATGTCAAGGCAAAGAAAAGAAGAAACTTCTGAAGTAGTAACAGCTAGAAGTAAGCTATCGAAGCGGATTTCGTACTTGGACAACGTCCGAGTAGACAGCTAACTTCAAAAGGTCATCTGCAAGTATACACCATATGCCAGACTGCAAATATACACAAAGGCCAAAGCCTTCAATAAAAGAAGGGCTATGCATCCGTCTGATAACACGAAAATGGAAAAATTGGAACACTTCTTACACCACAAAGTGGAACCGAGGCCGTGCCAGCGTGAGGACCGCCCAAAGAGATGAAATTATTAACCTATTCCCATGTGCAAAATAGCAACACATAAGATTAGCCTATGAACATAATATTGATGCTGATAAACACCAATCTGGGGGGAGGGAGAGCGTATTAAAGTGGTTCTCACGGGAGGTGCTCCATCGCAGAATTCAACAACTCCTCGGCCAATTAAGTTACCCTGTTAAATGAAGCAGAAGATTACTCCTAAAGAAAATTTAACCTGAGGCAATAACATTCCAAGAGAGCTAACAGCGGAATACAGAAACATAAGGTTCAAAATGTCTTGTTTCGAGCAATTACTAGTTGTTCTAGCTTAATCGTTCAGAAATTCAGTTGGCATGCGTTGAAACTAAATAAAAATTTGTGATCTGCCGAGACTGAATGCCTTATGGGGGAACAATGAGGGAAACGGTATCTACTTGATTTGAAGTCATTGCTCTTTCAAACTAGAGTTAAGTTATAGTTAATATATTCATCATGAGTCACCTGGGAGAGGCCAACAATGTTGAAGCCCTTTCTTAGCACTTTCATTTCTTTCACCTGTATTCATAATAACGAACTAGTTGCAAGTTAACATAGATGTTGAAATCCAAGTGGGGTAAAAAGCCAGCTGTAGATTATCTATACCACCTTGTCGCAAACAATTTGAGTCTGCAGTACAGAAAAAAGAAACGTCACAACTCAAAACACACCTTAATCTCGAGATTATCAAATCATATTAGTTATATCTAACCTGCTTCTCAAGGGGCATGAACCACGAATCCCACGGCCCATTACCAATTTCTCTGTAGGAAGATGAGTGAAGCAATCAGTGGCTCATAGAGATTCTGTAGAGAAAAACTTCCGGACTTCAAGAAAACTGACTAGACAAGTTGAAGATACAACAGGGAAATTGATAAGTGACTTGGATTAGAAAGAACTTTCCCAGGCTTGGTTGGGCCTCAAGGTGCTCACTCAATCATGAAACCAATCTTATAACAAGTTAACATGAATATGTTAGTTTAGATTGGTTTATATAATGGAGAAGTTCTACTGATTATTGCATATAATAAATGCTGGTCATCCATCTCAAATGAGTTCAATGCCATTTCCTTCAATAATAGCATCATAACAAGGTTTATTATCTTGTAATGTGAAAATTAATTCAACATATGTCAGGTAAAAGGAATATGATAGGTGCTAGATAAGAACTGGAACTATACAAAGATTCTATTTGATAAAATTCTTCTGATCAAACTAGTGTGGCAGGAGGAGTGGTTTTAAAATTTTAGCCCTTCCATTAGATAAAGGGAGCAATCATAGGCAACTCCGCCCTGCACGAGGCAACCCTACCACAACTCTACAAGCTAAAGTTGTTTTTTACATGAAAACCAATGGACAAACATAAGTGCAAGCATCATCGAAGCGAATCCACCTCAAATTCAACTCGACATCCCACTATTGCTCCTCTGCTAGATGGAGGGTTGTGGCCCTTCCATTGGCCAGGAGAGCAATTGTGAGTGATCTCATTGAACTCGAGGCATACCGCTACAACTCCGCAAGCTAGACCATTTTACATGAAAGCTAATGGACAGAACAGTCATACAACCATATTCAGAGCAAACAATGATGCAAAGAAAATTGATACAGGTCTTTAGGCAAGCATACATGCAATATCCTTCCGCACCCGAGTTATCACTCAAGTACTTAGTAAACTGCTTGACGCCTCTATGGGAGCACTTATCTCCAATACCTGCAATGCAACAGAGAGAAAATACCAACTCAAAAGCTTCTAAAAACACGACAGGCCACTTTATATGTAAGTCTAAATGCCAAGAAATGATTCCAATCAAACCCTGAGCAACATTCCAATTCCATTTAAACAAAATCAAGAAGTGAACCTAAAAGATGCATCTAGAAACAAACTTCGCCACCAAAGCAGAACAATTATCAACCCCAAAGAGTCGATTTCTTCATGGAACAAGTCGAAACAGTAGAATCTAAACAGACCCAGTTGGTAGAAACATAAAGGGGTTCATCAAATACAACGCATAAACTTGAAATTGAAAAAAGAAAGGGGAAAAGAGGGGAAGAAAGGGGAGATTGGAAGAACATACCGTGGAGTACAACGAAGGGTATGGAGTGGGAAATTGGGGAGATCAGAGAGATGAAAAGCAAGAAGAAGATGATGGGCAGTGAGGAAAACGCCATTAGTTGCAGAGTGTAGCAGGGATTTGAAGAAAGAAGGAGATAGGTGATGAAATTATGGAGTTTCCGTGCGGCCTCGAACCAAGTTTCGGAGTATTATTGGTCGTTGAGAAATTAACAACTCTGCGGTGGACAAAACGTCAAAACTATTGTTTACCTGCTTCCGTTCCCACTATTTTCCACTTCGTACATAAGAAATTACAAAATAATTACAAAATAAAGCTTTAGGAAATTGGGAAAACTTTTCATTTCATTAGCGAATACAAACGTTGAAGTCTCGATTTCATATAAATTTTAATGAAGAAATTGAAAAAATATACATGGCGGTAGATATGTCTGAAATATCTAAATTAATAAATAAATATTTTACTATTTTTAAATAAACTTAAAATGATTAATTAACATTATGCTGATATTTTTCATATTTTATCCATTTTTTCAATAATACTATAGAAATATCGATTCACCTTTTATATCAATGTCGAACTTGTGATTTACGAAAATGTCGACATGTTTAAATTTCCATTCAAATAGTTGATTAAAAAAATTCTCAGATAAATTCAATAAATCATAGAATATGTATTTTGTTTGAAATTGATAAAAATAACTCTGTTTTTTCTTTGGTAGAGTTATTTAATATTTAAATTGGTGCATAAATCGGGTACAAAACTTGGATTCGATGTATTTTGTTTGAAATTTGATATAAATAACTTTAGAGTTGATTTTTTTGTTTTTAATTGTTGGTAGAGTTATTTAATATTTAATTTTGTGCATAAATCGGGCACAAAACTTGGATTCTTCTATTAAATTAAAGAGTTTTTGGAGTTTTTAATTTTTTTTTTGTTTGTGAAAATTGAGTAAAAATGACAATATTTATCTAAATTTAGTATCTAATTTGATAAAAAAGAAAAAGAGTGAAAACTAATACAATTTCGTTAAGCAAAGAGGTTAAAATTGATTCTTTCTCCTAAAATATTTATCAACCCTATAATTTTACAAATTTAAGAAAAATTGGAGGACTAGGAGTCGGTCAATTGAACTCACAAAAAAAAATGGTCCCCTTTAATTTTTTTACTTATAAAATAGATTTTTTACTTTTATTATTTATTTGGTCGGAATACATTTTTGTCATAAAATTTCAATTCCGTGTCCAATATTCCAAAATTTCACTATCAAATTCTTACTTAATAATTAAGCTACGGACCTTTTTTTTTTAACAATTGTGGGGTGACAATTCAAACTCACTAACTTCTTGATTTGAGGTATATATCAATTACCATTAAGTTATGCTCGTTTTGACCAAATAAAATTTAAATTGGTTACTCGTACCACCACTAAAAAATTTAATATTTATTTATTTTATTTTCTCTTCTCTTCCATTATATATTTATTTCTCTTTCATCTCAATTCTTTAATAGTAGTAAGGAGGAGATACCTACTTATCGAAAAACACCTAAATTTTATAGATTTTCTCGAGCTTTGTTAAACTTTAATAAGAGAATATATGGATCACTTTTAATAAAAATGAGTTTTACAAATATAATTGATGTTCTTATCACAACAAAAGTCTTGAGAAAAGAGAAAGACTTCGCAATAAAGACTCTTACATCTATTAACATAAAAACTCTCGCTCGCTAGTTTGTTTCCTAATTTGTTAGAATTTTTCCATTTCAAATCAAGGGAGAAAGCAAGAAGATCAACACAAATTAAAGTTTGTTTTGTTCTCTTACCAAAGAATATACATGGAGAGGTCGAACATATTGCTCCCATTTTGCTCGCCCCTACCATGAGAATCACTTTTTAGAATAATTTGATTAACCTTATAGGTTTGATGTCTATGCTTTGTCAACAAAACCATCCAAAGTATTCAACCAATGAATCCCCTTTTCTTAGATAGATTATGGAGTAGTCTCGTGAGAGCACCATAATCTTCCCAAAGAGTCAAACATTTATATTCTCCCTGCACTAAAAAAAACCCTTATCCAATAAAATTCTATCTTTGCAGCATTGGTAGTTGACATATATCTTCAACCTCTCTCCTCAACTAATCAAACATTATATTGTATTACCCAATACTTTTTAGAGACCAATGGAATGAATTTGATTCTAATTGAACACAAAATTGGAAACCCACAGAACCAAAGGAGAAATGACATGAAATAACCAATTAAATATCATATGAATCCATGTCCAGAAATCTTCCCCTCCATAGCCAAGCCTTCCTTAACACACTCCTCCATTAAACTCAGAAGCTTCTCTCTTTCCCCACAGAGCTTCTCCAGTTCCCGGCGCCGTTGGTCGATTTTCTGGTCGGTTTCCGCAGCCAATTCGTGGGCCATCTCTTTCCCATGAAGGCCAAAGAAAGCCATGGCCGTCTTCTTCCACCCATCCCAAGCAAAACCCACTTCAAAGCCACACAGTTGGATCGTTCTGATCCCAATCATCCACGAAACCAGAACCTCCCCCCTCACGTTCTTCAGCTCTGTTTTCGACATGTCGTCCACCACTTTGCACAACAAATTCCATACTACCATCTTCAGTTTCGGGCTCAGATTCGAATTCCCTGTAAATTTTCATCATACGTCGATATTTTCATTTATTCAATAGTAATATCAGTCAAATATACGAAAGAAAAAATGGGATGGGGAGATATAATATTAGTAAGTTAAATTATAATATTAGCTGTGGGCAGTGAAATTTTTCAATAAATTGGTCTGATTTTGTATTTCTTGCAAAACATTCAAATATGGTCAAGATAGAACCCATAGGGAAACACTAATATTTTCCAAAATATATATAAAAAAGAAAAAACTTGCCTGCTACATCTCCATGTTTGTCGAAAATTTTTGTGAAAGTTTCAGCGAGTTTCTCCGACACCAAGTAGCGGCCGGCGGCGACGAGAACCGTCGGAGAATCCATTTCAATACCTTGGAAAGGGCTGTCGGGATCGTCTCCAAGGTCGATCTTTTCTAGAAGATCGTAAAGGGGTTTCTCCAGATACGAATAGTGGTTCAAATATTTCTGCTCGGAGTTGGTTTCGTCGTCGTCGTCGTCGCCGCCGCCGGCGTCTGTGGCCATGGCGGCGACCAGGTTCTGATACTCTGTTTCTTCAGCTTCTGAGAAAGAATCGAGGATCAGCTGCAGACTTACTCCGGGCTCCATTATTATGGTGCGGTTAATTTCACGGCTTCTTCCGCCAATTTGCTCTTCTTCTGATTCTTCATTTTGATGATCTTGTTCTTCGTTATCGCTCAACTCAAATGAACAGAGTAGGCTTGTTATGGATTCCTCTGCTTCTGTTTCACTTGCCACCTGCCAAATTGCAAAGTTTGTGGTATTAAACACAAAAATTTAAAGTCCATGGACAACTTTTGATACTTCCAAATTGAGTAATCTATTAAGAACCCAATAAAACACCATTGAGAATCCATTTTATATGAATTAAATTTGAGAAAAAACTTCTTCACTTGAGTTCACGGTACTCTGGCTCTCTCCACTTTCTCACCTCCTTCAACTTAATATAGCTTATGTTTACAATACATCTTCACAATTTAAATGTACATATTTTTTTTTAATAGAAAAAAAAACTGCAGAAGCCCCATTTAAAATTGGAAGATAATAAGGGGTTGAACGAGATAATGGTAGAGAAAAAAACGATAGAATGTTAAGCGAATTCTAAACCATCATTTTAAACTATAAAAATTAAAAAACAACGCATATATATTGCTGCATAAGTTGAAAAAATGAAGAGTAATTAGAGAGAAAAAGAAGGCGAGAAGGCCTGGGAGGAAGAATCATCCAGTTTTAAGAATGAATAATTCATTCCTCGACAAAAAAATTGAGTTGATGGATTAGATAAATTTAATTTATATATTAGATACGGGACGAGCACAATATTCGAGATATAATTTTTTTTTCTTAAATTTATCCAATTCATCTRCGGGTAGTCTATTCATCCTTAAACAACACAATCTAAAAGAAGTTGGAAGGATTTATCGAGAAAAAGGAAAATTTAGACAAAACCAAAACTGCAAGAGAGAAGAAATATTGGAACCTGATGATCATAAATGACGCATTCAACATGAGCAACAAATCTACAGATGGAACACGAATAAACCCAAGAAACCCCGTCGGATCTTTCTTCTCCACAAACGCAGCAGAATTCCGGCCACCGATCAGAATCACCATTGTTATTATTACCAGACACAAGTTGGAATTCGGGGCTGGAGAGCAGCAGCGGATGGAGTACGTGCTGGTCGGCTCTAATGGCGGGCGGGAGGGCGCAGTGCACGTGCAGGAACGCGTCGCAGTGAAGGCAGCGGCAGAAGGTG